CAGACGGTTCTGTGAAAACACAAATAAGAGAAGAGTTATATTATAATAGTCTTATATAAATGGATATGCTTCATGTAATACGTTTACATCAGTATATGTGTAACATTAAAGATATAGATTCATCACTTGAGATATGTTCTGCAATCGCAATGTATCATGATCATTTGGCTTCTTATTGGTTGCTAAGTAACATTGTAATATTTTGTAATATATCAAAAAAATGAATTGTTAATCTCCATCGCAATAAATTGCGTTTTGAAAATCTTGGATGTGATATCGCAAATGATACGGTACTTTAGTGAGATATTGGTTCCGCGTGTTTAATACTATTATTTCTGAAACAAGTGTTTTACCTGGTGTTGGTAGGAGTACAGTAGCCTCAGTAGGCAATCCTACAAATCAAAGAGAACAAATATTCATTGCTTGATACGTTATTTGTGGTTCTAGCATTACTATTTAATAATTATGGGGTTGAGCTCACTACACCCCATTTAGAACTGTTCTCATTAGAGCAATTATCTTTGATGTGATATTTGTGCTTTCAGTAATGAGATGTTTGTCGTCATCGTGAGTTAGAATTCCGTGTATGATATTATTGTGTGCCTGTAAACTATTAAGGTTAAAATTATTATGTTATGCCGTTTTTTTGTGAACGAATAATGAATGCTTATTAACTATTGGCATAGTAACTCTTTATAGTCGTAATTCATTTGATTTACAATAGAATTATTGCTAAAACTAGTTATAACTTACCAATACAGATACCATCACTGATAACAACGTCATCAATAGCAATGTCACTATTAATACCACTTCCTCTTACTCCAACAAATATTAACTACCAAAATATAACCAAATTAACTGACGAATCAAGTTTTGATATAGTTTGTATTATTATTATTATTGCACATATTCCGCAAACGATACGGTTATAAGTCAATCTCCTGGACTTTGTATGGCATTTTACCATACTGTCAAATATTTTTGTTGATCACCCCAAGTACATATTTATAAATAGAAATATTTTGAGTTAAACCTGAAAAAGTGTCGCGTTCATTTGATTGACAGTTTATCAGAAAGGAAACGCACTGTTGAACAACATTCGGTTGTGTATATACCTGGTACTCCTTTACATGTCTGTATGGAACTCTACCATACTGCCAACTATTTCCCTGGTCACCGCTGAGTGTCCATATAGTGAAAGAAGTATCATCATTAGTAGCTATGTCAATTCTTAATGTACCCATACCAGCTCCATACATGTGATACCAAAACTCTAAACATTTGTGATCTTTACTACCTGGCAATGGTTCACTATAAAGTGAAGCAGAGTCATCCATATCAGCATCGGTACCTTGTAAATACAAGTAAGTCCCTACAAAATATAAAATAAAATAAAAACATTTTATTAGTGAAAACCAGAATTGGTTCTAATGGAGTAAATCCAGTGATATATCATCACGTTTTGAAATTTAAGACATTCCGTTTTATCAAAATTCAAAATAGATGTGTCAAAAGTGAATTTAAAAGTAATTCATTTTGCTGATTGGTAGCTCATAGCTCATTCAACATTGATGGGCATAAAAAGACAAGATTTAAGCATGTACAAATATGTGGTAGAATGCAAACTAAGGTTACTATACCTTCATCAGTTCCTATGGTGTGGTCCTTACTTGGCCCACTTCTTGAGGAACCACTACCTCCTGTATTTAACACCCAGTCCAACTCATCTCCAATTATATTATTACTCCAAGTGCATTTACCAGATTCAAAGTTGCAGTTTTCTAGGAAATGAATTAGCAATTCATGTAAATTTCATACTCCCGTACTACGAATTCACTGAGATATGAATGTAAGGTTTTAAGCTATATATATAATTATATATTTGCATATCTTGTCAAAATTGTTTGAATAAACTGGCTACCATTCAGTCATTCAGAATCAAATTATAAAACGGGGCCTTCACTCAAAATGGTTCTAATCGGTTGATCAAATTTCATTGAATTCAAGAATAAACTGACGTATATTTGCAAATAATTGTTTGTGTATGTATTAATCAAAGTATTTTTGACAAAATGCAAATACACACACACAAAAGTGACCTCCTACAGGCAACCATGAATCAAATCGCTCCAGTAAACCTAACATATCTGACGCTACTGCCAAGTTCCACTTAATTCGACATAAGCATAAAGAAGAAATAAAAGATGACAGGTTGACCTTTTCTGATTGTCTGCTTTAGAATAAAAAAATAACGTTAAGTGGTTTTGCAGTCACTCTAATTGTTGTTTTGTTTTCAACACCTTTAGTAGTATACTGTGGACATGATGAGAAAGCCATTTTTACACTCTCAATGTGATTGTTGATAGCAATGTGAAATGTTGACTCACCTGGATTTGGACAGTTATAATCCAATAATTGTACATCATCCAAACCGATATAACCACTAGTTCGAGAATTGCGTACAATTTCAAATACAATCTGGAAATTACTTCGTTGTGTTATAGACACTTGACCTGTCATCCAGCCATCGCCAATTTGTAAGTAGCGTATCCATATTGGGTGACTCATTTGTCCGTTTATCATAGTGTGAACACTGAAAACACCAATGTCATAGCTGCTTCTAATATAGTAGAACTGCAAACATCTGTAGTTGTAGTAGACGTAATAGCTGTGAAATACCGTGCTACTCGTCCAGTGTTAGTAGACGATGCTGATACCAATAGATAATGACCTAAAACATGGAGAAATCCAAATATAATACTTTTCTCTTATTTTAATGATATTTTCATTTCTCATCTTCTTTGAAGTAATTTACATGAGTGAAAACATATATTACATCTTACATGAACTTTATCTTCCACATTAACAACAATCAATTTGAGAAACAAAATGCTGTGTGTATGACTGGCTGATTTACGGATGGGCTGCCGATATATGCCTGCCTGTTTTCATCAGGAATTGGTAATCCGATTTGAATCAAACGCTCATGGGTGGTTCGTGAAACCAACATTATGCCCGATTGACAGAAGAAGAGTAGTTAGTAACTGTGTCAAATCAACACCAATTAAATCAGGAAACACAATGCAATATAAAGAAAAAGAAAATAATATTCTTACAGCATATGTACTGCAACCAACACATTATGGAAGTGTACATTACGTGCATGTGTTTACAAAGCGACCCAAATACGTGTATTTCATGTCAAAATAAAGAAACATAAATATACCTGCAATAGTACCATAGGTATTATCTTGAATCGGCCCATTTCTATCATCTGCTGAAGTCAATGTCCAGTTAAGATCAGCTGTTTGGTCAAATTCACCACCACACAGTGTATTTGCTTCAAAATCACATCCAAAATAATCTGAAATACAGTTATGAAAAAAAATGGTAGCTACGTTGAACACTGTATTCGAATGTAACCAATGCAAGCAAGCTGACTAAGGAGTGCAATAGGATATGTAGGTATTTTGTTAATGAAATGTATTTCACCTTGCACACAGTATCCATCTTCCAAACTAATATCATCCACAGCAACATCTCCATGGACTCTATAACCTTGTGTCACTTCTAACACAACATTATGCGTCTCATCAGATGTCAGCAACAAGTTTACTCTAGCTTGGTTCCATTGGTCACCAAGTGTTGTTCGTTTTGCCCAGATTGGATTGAGTCTTTGACCAGCTTGTAAATAAACACTCAATGACCCAATATGGGCTCCGTATATGTGATACCTACATTACGAAAAAATAAATAGTAAGATTATGTTTTGTAAATGACTGCAAATATAAAACTTTATTCAATATCAATTTATTTATATTTATTCAATTTTAATCTTAATATAGTATGACGAATGTCATGTATTAGTGGTAGGTTCAAATTATTACGAGTTGAATGGCTTTTTTTTTTAAATCGAACACGCCCAATGAAACTTGATTAGATTTACGGGGATAATATCGTAATGTAGCATAGTTTAATGAGACCACTAAGCTGTAAATTATTTATAGAAAGGTGTCATGAAATGTGTATTAGGATGAATGTAAAAAGAGATCTTGGATGTTATGAAGTTTTGGGGATTTTATCAACTGATCATTGTAGATTAGCCACTGACATTTAAAAAAAAAAGCTCTGTGACAAGATCAAGTCCCAAAAGTTGTGAAGCAGTACAGAATGTAAAAGAAATGCTAGGCGGAGAACAGGTTCGTCATTCGGACGTCCAGCACCGATTACTTTTATTACAAGCCAAATTTGGATTACGTCCCAAAAACTCACCAGAAGGTGAAGCACTTTGGCTGGTTTGCGACAAAATCGACAGCTGGACTTTCAAGTCTCGCTGCATCCCCAAAGAACTGGTCTGCATTGTTATCAAGGTATATATACCATCCAGTCACTAGAATAATCAAAAAGTCTAATTAAACAGATTCTCAAATGAGTAAATAAACACATGCTTAGCAATAAAATGAATTATTCACCTCCTCTGGTGTGGTCCCAGGATGGCCCTGTATGAGATGACCCTGTATCACCTTGATTTCTTATCCAATCTAATTCATCGTCAGCCGTTTGATTCCATCCACACAAATCACCTTCAAAGTTACAGTCAAACGGACTGTGGGACGCTGCAAAGAAATAAATTCTAACCAGTCATTTCGTTGCTGCTTCTTTTATACTATTTCAAACTTAAATCAATCTGAGTACAGCTTATTCCATTTTTTTGCTCTTGATGACATTTTTTAAATTTAATGTGAGCTTGGGTCTATGGGTTGAATCGTTATTTCGCATTCAAAAACATATTTAAATATGTTGTGACATAATTTAAACATGCATATCGATGGTATGTTGTAACACACTACTCACGTGAACAGTATCCTCTGGTCATAGTAATATCATCAATACAGATATCACCAGATGGACCATTGCCTCTTGTTGCATTGAAGATTAACTAAAAATACAAAAATCATATAATTTCCAACAATAAAATGTAACAACATAATATGCCGGGGTATTTATTGTTGTAGACAAATTGGTCTACTCTGTGTCGATAAACACGAGTCCCGAGTTAATGGAAAACCCCAAATTTGTACAGGAGTCTGAGTGTATGACTGGAAATGACGTAGACTTATTCGATAACACAAAATTCTTAACTAAGAATATTTTTTACATATCAACTTACATAATAATCCTGTGTTTGATAAAATCCAACTCTCCCAGGCATCCACTGGTTGCCTTGGTTACCACTCATAGTCCACAAATCAATGACGTCACCATTCGATAATAATTGTTGTACTGTAAGTGTACCAATTCCACCTCCATACATATGATACCAGAAGTT